CTTGTACCAGTAAAACAGGGGACATTAGGTGCAAGTTCCATCGATTTCTGTCCCGATACGGCACCGAGACAAATGTGGGTCGACTTCGTGTGCTGTGGTCGAGGCGAAGACTGGACGCCAACCAAGCAGAGTTTACTCTTTTCGCTGCACTTCACTACAAACGCGTAAACACGCAACAAGCAGTTGCTGACAGACTTTGGATTGTCAACGAAGAACCTGTGCCTTACAAGTGATGCCATACTAACGTTTTGCCTCCCTGCCACAACAGTTACCACACGTGCAGCAGACTTAACAGACGATCGAAGAACCAACGCGCGGACGAGGATACACCACGAAAATTTGCGTGTGCGCATACTACCACCTGGCGGCACAGCTCATCCCATGCCGTGACGTCAGAATACAGTAGACACCGAAACTAGCTTTTGAAAGCGTGCTGCAATTATTCTTTCAGGGCGCACTCACACTTACCGATACATTTTCTACATTCTTGGGGGCTTGGCCTATCATTGAGGCAAAATATCAGCAAGCGAAAAATCTCAAGCCAGTACCGTTTAAAGGAAAAGCAGAAGACCGGGTTGATTGGCAGATTATGGGAGAGGCCTTTGCCCAGCAGTGGGTGCAGTCAGGCTTATCATCGTGATCACCAGGATGATGATGATAAAAAAGCAAAAGTACTTTTTGCATATTAGTAAAGTGAAATTTCACAATCGCAAAAACACCACTCTCACCACGAGAAGACTCTTAATAAGCGAGAAAAGACATGAAAAAAAAATGCGGGTGGCCACGCCATCTTGAGATTTACGCACCGAACACAGTGACGTTAGAAACTTTGAAGCCGTCTACTGGGCCCCCGAGTAGCTTCTAGTAGATAAAAATGAGTTACATTGTAATCTGTGGGTGCCATAGAGGTAGCATATGAAGGTTCAGAAAAATTGCATCAAGTGAATGCCACCAAAATATCAAAAATACATTCTGAAATTTCTAACGTCACGTCCAGAGATCTCGGCACGAAATTTTAAAATGAAATGTCAAGCTTGATTTTCTCCGCTAATAATGAACTTATCATAGCGAAAGATATGACATTAGAGTTTTCAGAGTGCACAAACCAAGTCATTGTTCTTCTTTAGTGTCCCTTTAAAGCAGTGACAGAATGGATAGGCAACTATTTCGTCTCGCATGATCATAGAATTCCCACCGCAAACAGAGAGATAATAGTGGGAGGAAAGGCAGATTGCATGTGCGTGGGGTGTATGCATTCATTTTTCTGCTGTCTTTCTCTTTGCCCTCAAAATTTTCCTTGCTAAAGACAGCAATGACCAAAGCCGCGAAGGGACACTTATAAAATTACTGTGCTGCTTTTGACTATTTACATTGTTCCTTTACATCACAGACTTTAGTCCCTTTTTCGTATTTGCGACTGCAGTTGTTGGTGGCTAACCTCCGCAGAAGTGGCACTGCACTGTTGGTCAAAGGTGCGTGGTTGAGTAAAATGTTCTGTTCGGCAAACTTTTAGGGGCGAACCTCCTTCTGGCGTGGGTCGTATGTCCAGTGTTGTCGTAGTAGTCAGTTGCGTTGCATGTCAACAAAAACGGCGTCACAGCATATCCATGAAGTCAATGATGATGAGTGGGGCAAAGCATCCGTCAGTTCATCCGTGCATCCATCCGTGCTTCGCCCCACTCGTCATTATTCACCTCGTGGATATGCTGTGATTTTTTTTCATGACATGGGAGGAAAAAAAAACTAGCACAAAAGTTCAAAGAAGAGGTAGTCGACAGGTGCAGTACCAAAAAGACCTAGCAAGGGTAGAGCATGCTCAGGGTTAGCAGCAAGGTCGAAGGGGGAAATGACGGCAGAAGCCAGATTATGACGATTGTCAAAGCTTATGAGGATACCATTGGTGAAGTTAAAGAATTGTTAACTACCTTCTCTCACCTCACTACTTGTTGTGCACATAACGGTAAGCTTGGGTCAGAGGATGCTGAATTTGAATATACTTCAACGCTTTCCAGTTTTATATGTAGTATGTGTCAATGATGTCAGGGTTTATGTATACTGTAGCATTGGCACTAATAAGACACACCAACCTCCACTGCATTGTTATTTTTTTGCACCCATGATGGCAAGCATAGGATGATGCACACAAAAGTAGGATAAATGTTTAGATGCCTTACATATTCAAGACCTTACGCAGAGCTGCAGCGCACCTCCTGTCCTTTCCATAGGCTTTAAAGCCGTGCTATAAGGTTGTGCTTCATGTCCAGTTTGCCTTGCAAGAAAATGTGGACCCCTTCACTATAACATGAGCCAGTGTGACCGTCTAACCTAAGATGCTGGCATTGAGTCTTACAACTCCACATACCAGATGTACAGCGCCGCATTCAGCTTACACTTCATGGGGGTGATAAGGTGCCAGTATAGTCTTGTCGCTGTTAGTATGCAGTCAACCACATCAAATAGTTGAGAGATAGCTAAAACTATGCTATACATCATTTAGAATCTAGAGGACCGTAGCGCAACATGACTGAAGCCAGGCTTGAGGTAAGTCAAGCGTACTGATCACCATGTTAACCAAAACACTTGCTCCTGCTCTGAAGGCACAGCCACACTGAGCCACATGCTTATCGATAAACAAAGCAGAATCTAAACATTATTGACTATAGCTTTCCTGTGATGCACCATCCACCCTTCCACCTGTTCAGCTGTAAGCAAATAATTACGAAGCACTGTATATAGACCTATTTCATGTTTGTAGGCAGCAGTAGACGCCGCCAATATTTCACTTGTGAAGGTGCACTTCCCAAGTGTTTACAAGCGGCGGGCACAACAGAGGAAGTTGCAGCGGCTATAAGAGAGACTTTGAAATGAACATGCGAGGTATGTAGACGTATAGCTCTAGCTTTGAGAACCTCATCAAAAGATGAGGTATCTTAACGATGAAAATGTGGCTCATTTGCAAAATGCCATTACCATTGTGGCAGTACACGCCACATATGTACATTTTAATTTGTTGACTTTGCAAAACGTGATCACCGTTGTGGCAGTCTACGATGCACGTGTGCACTAATGCAAGAACGACAGACCCAGTTCAGCAAGAGGCTCTAGGGTAGGATATGCAAATACATACTGGAAAAATGCGTAGCGACGAATCCTTACGATAAATTCTCGCATATCGCAAGAACGACTGAGCCAGTTCAACAAGAGCCTTTAGGGTACAATATGCAAATGCACACTGAAAAATACATAGCGACGAATCCTTACGATAAATCCTCGCATATCCCAACAACGACAGACCCAGTTCAGTAAGAGGCTCTAGGGTGCAACATGCAAATGCACACTGGAAAAATACATAGCGACGAATTTTATGATAAATCCTCGCATATCCCAAAAACGAGAGACCCAGTTCAGCAGAAGGCTCTATGGTACGATATGCCAATGCACACTGGAAAAATACATAGCCACGAATCCTTACGGTAAATCCTCGCATATCATAAATTTGCTGGAGAAGTTATACCAAGAAGTATTCAGGAGAAGAATTCATGCCAACGACAAAGGCGATCTCGGCGACACTTTCATCCCAAATACGCTTGTGATAATGCTTCAACTATGTACTGTGGACAATGTGGTTACGTACCTGATGGGTCCGCAGCTCGATTCGTACACTCAGGTTGAGGCCGTGAAATGCGCACAGACCGTAAATAGACTCGGCAAGTTTCCCGACTGCTGTTCTTCTGTGAATTCTCACAGACACGAAAATCTCGTGAAGCGCACCATAGCCAGCACAGCTCTGCCCGATACACTTGTGTCCGGCGCGTCATCGCAGCCCCACATAATCAGGAAAACTATAGTCGAAGTCATCCTTTCGTTCATTGCTGCTTTAATAAACTCTGCCCATGCAGAAAGTAACATACCTATGCTGGATGACTGAGTGACACGTTTAGGTCACACGAGTAGATAACGAAATCATTTTTAAGCATCTTAGACTTCTGCAGTTATATCAACAATGGCCACCGTAAAAAATTCTTCTCATATGGCAATGCTACCCCCAACGTTAATGTGCTTTGAGGTTATATGCTCGCTGTGCCTCCACAAAAAAAAAAAAACATCACAGCCAAGAAAGCTTGACAAAGTTAAATTATTTCTGCTGAGTAGGCTGCTCCGAAACATAACCGATGAACTGGTGTCGAAGGCAAGCTCTCACATTTTACAGCTACGGCTAATTTTCTTGCGACAGCTTTGGTAATAAAGAAACTGAAAGAAAGAAAGACCTAGCCAATTTTTCTAGTGTTTCGCGTGCAGATATGCATTACAGCTTGCCGGTACACTGTTCTTTCTTCTTTGCATGACGACAAACAGCCTATGCACTAGCGAAAACACAGCAGCAACTGCAGTAGGCACGGCAGAGGCTTTTGCCTCTCGCACAGAACTAAACAGCCAACGAGAGGGCCACCCAATTTTTGTAACCTATGTCTGGTAGGAATTCGTCCTATACATAGTTCGTGCAATGCTGGGTTGTGTCTAAATGACCATGGAAACAAAGCAAAATCAGATGTCACTCACTGACTGCATAGAGTTAAAAAGGTTGTATGCGTTAGTACTAATACTCGTGTTTGATACCGTCCATTCTCTGAAATGCATAAGGTCAGTGAAGCGCACTCTTTCACTAGCACTTTCACGGTTTCATTAGAACTCCTACGTGTTCAGCTGGTACAGATACTGGGATCTGCACACATTCCTTGCAGGTTTCAGCAGCAAAATGACAGTGACTTATCACAGAACCTACCTATTCATGATATATTTTTTGTCCTGATAAGCAGGAATCACCAGCTTTATTGCACATCTATGACAACACACAGCGAATCCTTTTTGAAAGCACTCAGCAGTAATAAAGCACCAGCTGTCAGTCTAAAGACGCCTCAGCTGCCGAGAAAGCATAAATTCACAGAGAAAAAAATCAGCACAGGTGTGCACAGCACACTGAAGAAAGTAGGACAACACAGTTTGGTGTCTGGACTACTTACACAATTCATTTTATCAGCTATACAAGTTCTGTGACGTGACACTTGAGTTCCTGCCTTTAAAGTGAGTTCTTGCCTTTAAAGTGAGTTCTTGCCTTTAAGTGCTCTCTGACACCTTAGACTTCTCACCACTGGCTCCACTCGTCGTCAGCAATCAGCTTCGCCGCTTCCTCCTGGTCTTTTTTCCGCCGCTCCTTTCCGAGAAGGATGGCGGTCTTGAAGAGATTGCAGTAGAGCTGGATTGCCGATGGTGTGTCGTCGTTTCCCGGGATCGGGTAGGTAATGAGGCGCGGGTCGGAGTTGGTGTCGACGATGGCGACTGTCGGGATGAGCATGTTGTTGCACTCCTTGATGGCCGGGTGCTCCTCGAACACAGAGTCGAGCGTGGACAGCAGGATCACCGTGTCGGGAAGTCGCGTGACAGTGCCAAACTGGGCAGTCGCATTGGTGAACAGGCCGGCCCTCCACCATCGGGCATGGGCAAACTCCTGGCACGCCTTGGCCGTTTCCTCCACCATGTGGGCGGTCTGCGAGTTCAAGAGGCATTTAGGAGAACGTGGACCTGACAGAGACCAAATGAACGACAATGTGCTGCTGCACACATTTGCCACATGATTTCATGTATAAGTGCTTAAAAGAGAGTTTTGCAAATTACATGACTTTGTAATTTACGCTGCATGTATGCGCACTTCCACTACTACACAGTTAAAATATTGGTAGCCACGCAAGCAGCTTGAATGCCATCTGTAACAGTATAATTCTGGCGTCCTAGGTTATCATGCTTAGAAACGCCTAATTAATATTATTAGTCGATATAGTATACACTGACATGCACAACAGGTCAAATGCTATGAAACATTTAAAGAAAAAAAAAAAGGTGAGCAACTCCCAGATGCCTATATAGATATTAAAAAACTTGTCAGAGGTATTTGCACCGAAAAACACAATTTAATGAACTCAAGTAAATTTCCTGTGTATATATATCTTGCAAATTCACTGAAACTTTTATTGTGAAAAATGCCTAAATGTATAAGCATGAAATTCTCCAAGCACCCCGCCTTTAAGATCATTTAGTAGTCAAGAAGAGGAATAAGCAAAGTGTTCTGTATTTGTCGCTCTGCGTGACATCAACATTAATTGTTTATCGCTGGCAACTCAATTGAGGAAGACGATGGTGCCCCGAAATAAATCCACGTATGGCATCTAGTCGAGGCACTGGGTAGTGATATCAATACACATGCTTTCGGGTATGCTGCCTAGTCGTAGCACGGTTTTCATTGGAACCGATACACATGTATAAGCTATATAGCTTTTTTTTTCCTTTGGTTATTTATATTTTGTTCGATATGACTGGTAGCTAGCTCAGGCAGGAACAGGGGCAAATATGTCTGCTTCTGTTGAGAGCTTCAGCCTCGTTTATTAGCAATTGATACAAATCCATTCCTGTGTAGTAGGAAAAATACTGTTCTTTCGCACTTCTGGCACCTTTCCTTGAGACTGTAGCTGCAAGTTGGTGGCAGCAACATTAAGATGAGAGTCACCTAATTTCTTGGTTAAACTTATCGACAGTTACACAGCTAAATCTCATTTTACGAACACCAATATAATAATGCAATTTCAAAAATTTTTTTTTATCTATATCAGTGTGAATATTTAATATGAATGCCAACTACAACAAAAAATTTTTTTTCTTTATACAATTAAAGTATAAAGAATTTATGTTACATGTTGAAGCTTGTAGCTGTTCCGTAATGCAGAGTTTAGGAGCCCTAGAGAGGACTTCAAATGACAGTGCGTATCTCCAGATGAATCTACGGTATTAACTGACCTGCTGGTGCCTGGTGACAAATAGGATGATGCCGTCTCGGTACGCGATGTGTGCGACAAAGTTGAGTGCACGAAAGAGGTGATCGAAGGTCTTTTCAAGGTCAATCACGAGGTATCCCAGCCTGGAGCCAAAGAGGTAAGGCTTCATGAGCTCGTTTAGGGTTCCCTCCTTGTGGCCCAAGTGAACTCGTGCGTCGAAGAGCTCACGCATCGACAAAATCTTGCCGATGCCAAAGTAGTCGGCATGCTGTAGGGGATCCAGCAATGTGCTGCCAGTGGTTGCAGGCTCTGTGAAATGATTGAAACAAGAAAACAGCAGTTGTCAATAACTCAATAAGTTGATAACATTTCGGTCTTGTTACCGACGTCGGTAGAAACAATATGAAGGCACCAATTCTACCATCATTTCGAGTTCCTTGGGGCAAACATTGTATCTGGAATTCCAGGATGGCACAATAACCTACCGACGGAAAACAATTCTACCGTAGTGTTTTGCATGAAGTACGGTCAAATCCAGTGCTTTGTATATAAATGAAGGAAAGTGTAAAGCTAAGAGCTGGTTTCTTTGTTAGGCACAATATTAATGAGAATAGACATAGACGATAAATAATGTTGCATAATGTTGAGGGGATGCTATTAGAAGCAATTCTATTGTAAATTTGACATTACTTTGTCTGACATTATTGTCTATTAGTTTTCATTATTGATATTGCTTAATAAAGGACCACTTATCTCTAAAAGCACAGGGAAGCTGTGAATTAACCCGGAAAATGGCATACGTGAAGACAAATTGAATTCTCACTACATCAATAGTGACTTAGCCTAGCACAAACAGCAAACGATCAACAGAAATACAGGTGGTGATGAAAATTCATCAAGCAAGGGTGTCGTTAAGTGCCGTTAGAGGTCAACGCTTTGACAAGCTGACCTGATGCCTTCAGCGTGCTGACAGGGTGAAGTTTTATTGTTGAAGCACTCGTGTCATCTGTATTTCATGTTCTACTCCTAGTGGACTCTCAGCAGTTACTTCGACATATAGAAAAATTCAAAAAAAAAACATTGTGCAAGCGTGCAATAGAATGCCAAGTGACTTAAGGTGCGCAGTAGACTCCTGATAAACGAAAATCGCTTAAATGAAACAGCTGCCTCAAGTGTTTGGTTTTTCACTCGACTGTTGCACCTCTGTGCACTTTTCTCAGTACCAGCAGCCCATTGCCACTTTAATAATAACTTCTGATGTTTAAACACGGAATGATTACGCGGAACGCCGAAGTGGAGGGCTCAAACAATCTTGACCATCTAAGATTCTTGAGCGGGTACCTAAAAGTAAACTGGCCTCTAGCATATCGCTTCCATTGAGATGCGGCCACCGCAGCGGGATTCAATCTCGCGACCTCCGAAACCGCAGCCGCATACCGAAACCAAGGTGCTATCATGGCAGGCAATCTTAGGTGACGCATATCTACTGTGGCGGATTGGACAGGAATTGGGTGGTTTCATGAAGTAGTACGAAGTTTTAGAATATTGTAGGGGTAAATTATAGAAAGGTTACAGATTACCCAGACAATTATGGTGCTTGGTCTAATGGATATATCTATTAAAGAAAACAATCACTGCGAAGGTAGCACAGAATTAAATCTTCATCGATCGCACGAACGCTTGTGGTTTCGTATATCCGTAAGTAGTACGGCAAAAACCGCAGAACCAGATGCACATGCTATATCGCTCACCATCTGCCTTTGGTTGAGGACTTGGCTGTTGGCTGAGAGGTCCGCGGGTGCTGATACTCCTCGCAGACACATTTCTGAGCAAAGATGCACCCAAACCTGGGAAGAACAGGAGTTGATGAAGCGAAAGCATGCCCTCCAATCTAGTACCAACATACGCAACAATTTCAAAAGCAACTCTGGCTTCTCCCCTCTAACCAGCCTTTTAAAGATCAGGGCACATATGCTTATGCCACTTTTTGTGTGATCAAAGATGATTTCGCTTTGAATACGCAGTATTCACCGCAAAATAACCCACCAAAGCGGCGCACGATGGCTCGCATGGCGGGCGCCATTTTGTTTGAAACCGTTTGTTGCCAGAGCAGGGACAGCGCAATTCTCCCATAAGCGGCCGCCATGTTTGTGAGAGATGATAAGCGTATTTATGATAAAAACAGTTCGATAAGTGGAGCGAGTAGGTTGCGCACCTTAAAGATACCTCGTTCACAGGTGAACATTGTTCACAGCTTCTAACGCAATCACTTTATTCGCAATCATGTTCCGTATTTTGACTACCTAACTGCATATAGCATAGGCAATTCATTAATTTTCCACATTAATCGGGAACTTGGAAAATAATTTGATTCAGTTCCTGGCCAAAGGATCACTTGCCCAAAATGTGCGTGATAAAGAAGCAATGCAGTCGTAGTAATGTTGTGGTAGTGGTACGCTCGGCGCTGCGGGTAAAAGCGGGAACGAAAGTTCGTGTCCGAACTCATTTATCTCCAAGGCAACAAGTCAACGCGAAAGAGCGCGGAACAGAGCGGGAGATGGGAGAGAGCAAAGTCGCATCCCGCGGAGGGTTTGAGAGAGGATTACGCGCGCTGCGATGGATAAAGAGCGCGCGAATGGGTGGAGTCACGAAGGCGGCGGGATGAGGAAGATAGGGACGATCGAGATGTTCAGTCTTGACCTTGGACTAGTGCCTTCGACGAACCGACCCGAGCGAAGGAAAACGCGTACCGATAGTCACGCGTTTCGCCTCGGGCACGGCGCGATCATACGACCGCCTTCTCATCCCGCAATCACGAACGACTTCGCTGCGCGCGCCTCCTTTATGGCATGGATCGACTCCGTCCTCGCGTCCCTGCTTCACAACGTGTTTCTCCCTCTAATCGTGCTCAGCCTTTGCCTCAGGTACGCGCTCCAGCGAGACTACACCGCGCGGCGACTCAAGTTCCAAGCGTGGCTCTCCAACTACATGTCGTACCGGGAAACGGGTGCCATGCTGGAGGCTAAGGAGATCCTCTTCGGCAAGCTAGAGTCGATCGTCTCGCAGGACTGGTACCTGCGCAACCTGGGGCTCATACGGATACTCGAGATCGGCGCGGGCTCCGGTTCGAATCTCGCCTTCTACCCGCGCAACTGCCACCTCGTTGCGGTGGACAGCAACCCGTTCACGGCGTCTTATCTGCGCCGAAAGTTGGCCCGCGTTCCCGTGCTCCTCGAGATGTTTCTGGTGCAGAACGGGGGCTCGCTGAACAACGTCAAGAGTTGCTACGTGGACGCTGTTGTCACGACGCACGTGCTCTGCGGCGTCAAGGACTTGGACGCCGTGCTCAAGGAGATCGCCCGCGTGCTGGCGCCGGTGAGTTGCGGGAAAGCGCTACTGCGGAAACGCAGTGCGAGGAACTGTGGGGATGCGTATTTGTGTACGGATTTGGTGACCCTGACATTTGTGCGATAATGAGATGGCAATGCTGCCAGAACGTGCCTTATTTCGAAGCAACCCGCACGAAGGGGTAGGGCGTTAAGAATGCACCCTTACCCTTTCTTAATTGGTATCAGTTGGTAGAGCAACTGATTGGATGAACATATATGTTTTGACGTCTTTTCTCGCCACAACAGATAATGAGGATATTGGCATGATTGTACGAAGACAAGATACACAGAACTGTCAGTTTGGTTCATGTGCCAATCGCATGGTGTCTAGTTTACAGGCACACGAAGGTCGACTAACATATGACTTATATTGACCATCATTAAGGTGCTTATACCTCTTGAAAAAAAGGTTGTTTCTTATGTATGTCGCACATCTCCTTTTACAGTTTTACGTCTCCTTTTTACAGGATGAGGCTGCAACGAAATATCTGGCTGTGTTGGCATGTTAGCTCAAGTTTAAGAAGTGGAGTTGGTCAAAATAATTGTAGAACTGCTCATTACACCACATTTGGTTGGTTGACTGAATGCTGCTTGGAATAAAAGCTGTCCTTATTAAAATTATTCAATGGGATTTTTATATCCAGAGATCTTGGGAGCTTGTCCCTATGCCTTAATCTTAATTTGTTGTCGATTATAATATGACCTATGAGGTATTTGTCAAACAGTGCTATAGAGAAGCTTCGTAATGAGCTTAAGCTGCATGTGTTGGCTGTTGGCGGATAATCATTATTCGGTTATGGCATTCAAGTCATGAAGGAAGGAAAACCAAAAGTCAGCACAGGACTGTACAGGCTTGCACGATCCCAGATGCATTACAAAGGTTGTGAAATAGTGCATTGTTTTATATGCTTTGCCTTTCTTGCTTGTGGGGAAACCAGCAATCCTTCATCAGGATATCATTTGCTCTCTTCGACTTGACCTTGGTCAGCGCTGCACTATGCGTAGAGGAGGCATTCTTTGTTCTGAGTGAAGAAGGGGAAAGGAGGATCGGCCTCACTCGTAGGTTGAGAAGGCTCCAGTCCAAGGAGGCTTCGTGAGGACTCACATGTCTTCTGCCAATTATTTTTCCTTCTTTCACACACTTTCTTACGCAGCTGTGACTCAAACGACACAGCTGTAGAAGAAACTAAAGTGCACAGTCAGCAAGAAACACACAGGACAAGAGGATATGTGAAAAGGCTAAATCCTTGAGAAACCTGGCCACAGCCTCAAATTCAGTTTGCTTCAAACTATAGGACTTCTTGTGACCAGAGCAGAGGCACAGAAATTTAAAAGTTTGGTTCATCAGGGTGCACATACTTTTCTTTGAACCTGTCTTCTACAAACAGAGTTGCCTGATGCTACCAAGCTAACAAGCAAATAATTATGACAAAAGAAGCGGAAACTCAATGAATTTTTCCATTCATCAGGATATTTCTAATGAAAAAAAAATTCACTTTAATACGAATGGGCATCAAAAAATTCACCCTAGTTTTTTCGTACAACAAGAATATCCTCAGCTATGACTGGAAGAAAAATCTCTAGGGTAGTTCACATTTTGTTGAATGTGCCTTTGCGAGCGCATTATTAACGTTGCGTGTTGATTCCTCCAACGTCAACTTTGACTTCTACCCTCAACTATACAGCAGCCTTCCGCAAACTCATTATTAGTTGAAAGTAAGCACACTAATCGGGAACGTGATTATTACTAAATAACTATATTTGGTGGGAAAATGTAAATAAGCTAAAAAACAACAACAAGCGACTGGAAAATTTTTACAGATAGAAATGTGGGCTAGGTGGACGTTCATATTGTTACATCCTCAGTAGGCGTTTGGGGGTTTATTGGTACACGGTTCAGATAATGAGCCGTACAGAACCAGGATGCAAGAAAGATCTTATTCTTCATTCATCCCCTTTCATTTCTTCCTTCTTTTTCTAGTGCGGCACATACGTCGCGTAACAATATTCATTCACCAAACTGGGATCACGGCAACGCACAACAGTGCTGTGTGGTTCTTCTTTTGTCTGCTGTGTATTGCCACGCTTACAGTTCCTGAAAGAATATAAAAAATCCCACAAGTGATTCGGCAGAAAAAGAATCTTCCCAAATTCGCTTATTCTACGAGGAATTGGCAACTCTGCTTACAAATCTATTCGAATACTTTACTGGCTGGTTCTGGTACAGAGTTGAATATGAACCTGATACTGCCAGCATCAAATCAGAGGAAACATAACATACTTTTTGAATGGTTCTTGCATATTCATTCGCTTTGACAAGAGATCCAAAATTATGTTTGCATTGTACTTTCCATAATTTCAGCATTAACATTACATGTGAAGTGTCGTATAAATAAATATAAACATAATATTTTCATCTGAGGGGTAATATCACAGGCATAAAGCTGTATGACTTGCATAATACGTACAGCATGCTACCTTACCCTAAACTGGGACTTTATTGGCTACACAACTATCACTCAGGTTTCTTTAGCAGTTCTCTGGACGCAGATGATCAGCTTATTCGTTACTTATGCCTCATCACTGGCTCTAAAGCAGAAATTAAGAATACTAGGATGTGAACATCTCTTTACAATATTTACAAGAATGACTATTCAATATTCGTCAAATATATATAGTTTTTGTTCAATTCTCCTGAAAAAATTCACGACTTGATCGCCCCTATTTTTAGCACACCTGCGAGATGAAATCTTTTGGGCTTTTACACCAATTTTCTGTTTGTTTGCTTTTCATTGATGTTTTGAAAAATTGCTGAACTGTTTTTTAAATATTCTCGTTCATGGTTAGGGGCCGTTAGCTTTGAAAATTCGTTATCGTAGAACACTATACAATTCCATGGCTCAATGAAAAAAAAAATTATTTGCACCCAGCCTTGTTTACATTTGTGGCTATGAGTTAGTCCAGATTTTTAATGTCGATCGGAAGGCTTCTGGGAACAAGGGGAACTGATTGAGGGAAGTGCTTGTAAAGGATTCTGACTTTTGGCCAACAATTAAATCCCGCAAGTTATCTTCCTTGAGCTGTCCTTGTCTTCATTATCTTTAGCTTTATATGACCATGATTTCGGTGGCTATAGCTACTTTCTTGGACTCTTTTTTCATTTCCCTGTGAATGTACTTTACATGGCAAACAGGTAGCTTATCCACTGAGGTGTTACACCGCAAGGGTTTCAAGACGTGGATTCGACTTCCACTCACTGTGGTTTCACTTCTATGTGGGTTAAGTGCTAATATGTGTGTGTACTTAGATTTATACACTCTTTAAGTAAATGCCATGCAGTCATATTTAACTTAGAGTCCCCCACTGCAGCATGCGTGGTAATCTTAACGTGGTTTTAGTTGGCTAAATTCCAGAATTCATAGTTAGAACTAATTGCATGATGATCTCCCCTGACCTTTTGGTTGCTGTCTCCTGCATTGTTTCCATTGCAAATTCATTTACTGATGCAAAGTGTATTCAAATGACCTAACATCTGATGAAACCAATAGTAAATAGAGGCAAGGAAAGTATACATATACAGTCATCATTTGTAATCGTTGACTGCAATGTGGCATTCGTAGTAAATGTGTAAAAAAATTGAAGCACAGAAAAAGACTGCTTGCTGCCGGTAGGAACTGAACTTGCAACTTTCAGACAACACAAAACAAAATGAACCTAATTAGTAGGGCAATGGACACGTTACTCGAAAGCTCTAAGATTCGTTCTTATCAGGGCGAAGGTGTCTTATCATCTGTTTTAATTTTGTTTATATTTTCATCGTAATTACCACACTACAGGTTTAGAGGCTACGTATACCCCCATACTTACCTTGGCTTCGTGTCCGCCTTGGTCGATCAGTAGTTACGGCGCTCGACTGCTGGCCTAAATTTGCAGGTTTGATCTTGGCTGCGGCCGTTGCATCTTAGAGAAAGCAAAGCGAATGAGGCCCGTGTGCTGCGCAATGTCTGTTCACGTTGAAGAATACAGGAGGGTCGAAATTTCCGAAGCCCTCCACGTGTTCTTCGTAATCATATTGGGGATTTGGGATGCAAAGTCTGAGATACGCTGAAATCAAATTATAACAAAGTTGCATCTTACTCGAAAAAAATGTTTGTTACATTTGAAAATTAGCTATAAAAGTATATTCTATATTTATTGCAAGACATTCGTTATGCCCCGCCGTGGTGGTCTAGTGGCTAAAGTACTCGGCTGGTGACCCGCAGGTCGCGGGATCGAATACCAGCTGCGGCGGCTGCATTTTTGATGGAGGCGAAAATGCTGTAGGCCTGTGTGTTCAGATATGAGTGCACGTTAAAGAACCCCAGGTGGATGAAATTTCCAGAGCCCTCCACTACGGCGTCTCTCATAATCATATGGTGGTTCTGGGACATTAGACCCTACATATCAGTCACAATAATTTACTTTGTTAGAACTGGTATTTTGTTATATCCGGGTTTGTTATATTGAGGTTTGAGTATATTACTATTCCTTGGCTTTATTGTCTGTTGATTTCATTAGGTTGTATGTTACGAAGGAAAAAACGAGCTCTCGATCGATTCCATTTCCTCGTTCTCACATAAGCACAACCCTTTCATCTCAGGGCGGCAAATTCTTCTATGTGGAGCACATGCGACACAATCCAGGCGACTGGCGTCGCTACGTGCAGATGCTCGTCGACCCGCTCTGGCGGAGGATCTTCAACGGCTGCAGCCTGACTCGGGAGTTGCACGACGGCATCCAGAAGTCGGCGCATTTTGCTTCGGTGTCACAGTGCAAGGTGTACTCTGCGCGGAGCAAGTTTGTCGGCATTTTCCTCAACCCCGTTCTAGTGGGTATCGCAACTAAGAGGGAGTTTGTGCGGAGGAGGCCAATGAAGTTGAGCAATGCATTTCTGGCTGCACGGGCAATGTAGAGAGTGGGTGGTGTTTCACACAGTGTATAATCATGTCATTACACCTAGATGTGTAATGACATGATGTTTTTTACATTTCATTTATGCACATTACATTAAAATAGGGAGCCATAACACACAAGGAAAACGACTGACAAGCCTTAAATTGTAACAGGATCGTTTTATTTTTTCATGTTGAAATACATAAGCCACAGAGTGTAGTGATTAAAAACCATAGAAGGCTTAACAATTTTTGCATACAATGCTTATCTGTTAATATTATTTTTTCATTTTGACAGAGGCGTAGAAGTATTAAAATATAGTGTTCTTATTTTGCAAGTCAAACAAACAAAGAATATAGGTAAGCAAAGTACTGTTCAGAATAGTTACATCACTATGCAAGAAACATCACTATGACAAAAATATAAATTGCTGGTATTAGCAGGATAGGCATTTCAAACACTTTTACAGAATATGCATTTCGAAACGTTTACATTTCTTTTTAATAGCTTTCTGTAAACCACTTTTGATACAGTTTTCAAAAGCATGGGATAGAGACAGAGCGCTACGATATCATAACAGTACGTGTTACCATACATAGGCCCTCTGGGGTGGTAAAACTAAATCTGGTTTGTATAAAGCTAATGTCGTAAATTTTTATTGAGGGCACTTTGATGATTTCTGGTAGTTTTTCTTTGGTTTCAAAGCTCCGAACTTCCAGATAACCATGAACAAAGAAGTTGAATATGTCATGCCAGTGTCTACTCCTCGAAAAGGGTTAGTAAACAGACTCCGACTTTTTTATACATTCGCCAAACAAGCTCACCAATTCGTACAGTAGGTCGCCATGGTCACATTCGCCAAATGTTACAGTGCTGGGAAGCCGCGTAGGCCCTTCATTTTGAAAAACAATCCTGTGCCTGTTTTCCTCGCCTGACCAGTCACCCTCACACCCTCAATCTGACGAAATCTTCTCCGTGGGCAACGTTACGCACCACTGAGCTCGTCGATTGGTTCTTTGCCCTACGAAACGGAACCATGAGCCTGCGGGGATGCAGTTTTAGCCACGCAGTCCACATTTTCATTTTTCTGTGCTGCCCTCTGCCGTTCTGTGGAGCCCGAGACACAGGGAGAAGTGGTATTGCCAGAAGGAAAGCGTCCGAGGTAAAGAGGCGTCTCACTGCTCTACAGCAAAGGGAAAAGTGCTCCTCGCTCTCATTTTCTGCCCGCGCCGAGAAAAGCACCGCTTGGTCATTGGTTGTGCGCCAATGACGTATCACAGACGTGTCGCGTTGATGAAGTAGGCGGAGTCACAACGACGGGCCACTCCTTCGCGGAGAAGGGCGACGAGTGGACGCACGAAAATTTGAAAGTGGCTGCAAGAGATGTTCTAACCCCTGTAACATCCTTGTTATAGCACGTATTTGGAAAATTCTTGAGGTATGCAGCATGTTCACATAGCAAAAGTGCACATGTTTCTCTTCATACAAATTTTGTTTACTGGCCCTTTAACAGATGTAAATTGCCCTCAATTTTTATGATTCATTCACAAGAAAACTTAAGTTGCGAAGGCCTACCATTCGAATGGATGATACCTCTATACATGCGATTTTATCTTTAATATTGTGGTAATTGGTTTTTAGAGATTTGCAATCAATTTTACTGACTGCAATCTTCTGCAGAGTGAGTCGGCAAGTAACAGATAAATGGTAGGCTTGCGTGCAGGTAGTCTTCTTATTTACAGTTTATAGAATGTTCTAAAAGTCACAGTTGCTTCATGCTGTAGCAGTTTCACATTCAGGGTACAACTAGTCAAAGGTTTCAGACATGACAGTGTCAGTCATCTGCCACTGCAACATTACGCCAGTCACACCAGAATTCGTGTCTCTGATGGCTGTGAACTGCAAACAAGTGTTGTTTCTTTCTGCAAGAAATAGTCGTTGCCATTTTTTCTTTGTTTCGCATCAAATTAATCAATAATCCTAAAAACACCTTGATTCGTTTTTCATTTTGCTGTGCTGGTCACTTGTAAACGATTGAGCAGCACTGCTTTGGTGCAGACAAAAACTTCAAATGCATAGCATACAATGTCATGACTGATTATATTGAAATAACACCAGGTTTAGTGGCAAGTTCAGTAGCCAGCTGTCTAAATTCTCGCTTCGTGTAGTATGTCAGCAGGGAAACCTGTGAAATTGGGCAAAGTTTTATGTGGAGGACCATCCCAGCCCTCTAGGAATAGGCGAGATCATATTCTATAAAAGCTAAATCATAGTTCACTTTGGAGATACGTACATAGTACATTAGAAGTAGCGTTGTTTAGTGTTTTCATTCTGCTGATTAGTTAGCTATGCTGCTGGGAGTCATGGCTATCTTCCCAGGTGTAGTTCCTGTTTAACAAAACATGTTACAAGGATAGTTGGTGATGCGTATTTCTCTGTTTTAAAGAAATCTAGCGCTAAACTTTGACCAACAGCACTTGGAAAGATGTAACAGGATGGGTGCTCAACAGCGACTATCCCGTCACATCCTTTCGTGTGCCTGTGTTCAAAGTTTAGCGCTGGCTATTCTTCAAAAAAGAAACAAAAAATTGTTCTTGTTGCAGCTTTCACTGAAGCCAGCCTGAAAGCCTGTAAGAGATTCTGCAAACTTGTTTCTGAGTTGTTGTTTTAGACAACACACAGGCTCTCATGTGTGCCTACAGTGCTTTAGATGCTTTTAATAATTAGAGGCAGTCATTTCTTAGCAGCTTCACCTGCTCGGTTTCTGAGTTTCATGAGTACTTAGGAAGTGTGCCTCAAGCTTAATATTCATGCTAATATAAAGATTAGACAGCAGGGTATACTTGCCTCGCTGGCCTACGGTAACATTGACCATCGTGTTGGCATTGTCAGTCTTTCTAGATTCAAAAGAACACGACTGCCTTTCTAGACTTTAGTATTCGCGAAACGTTGATACCTTAGAAGTTTGTAGCTTTGAGCATCCGGCTACAAGTTCAAATTTTCGGTGACATACAATGAACTTTTGCATTTTCAAGATTTATGATTTCGTACATCTAACTTACGACTTTTTGTACCGTGCTTCATGGTGCAAACTACAGTCATATGACAATGATGGTGTGCTGTAACATCACTGTGACCGCACCGTCCTCGTCAGTCATAACAGGAAAAGCAGCCAGGAGCTACATTGTAGTGATAGCTTTCCCAGTGCTGTCTGTTTTTCTGGTTCTTGCTACCTACACTATTAACAGGATCAGTCAGTCGTGAGCTATAGATGACAAAAATAGCACAGAATCGAGAAAAAAGGCATCACCACGAAATAGTTGCTGGAAAGCAAGCAGAAATCACATTTCAAGAGCAAGCACTCTTTGATAGTGCACATCTGTAATCTCTCTTCTTTTTATAAATCTCGCTGTCATCGCATCCAGGCACGAGAATGGGTGATACGTTTGTGTACAGCGAATGCCCATCGCAGAGGCCTAGGCGTTCGAGTGAGTCGTCTCTATGATACTCTTCAATTTTATATACACTTGCTCCTGTCGAAATGGAGCTGCTGGCATTTGTTGCTTCGATAGTCTTGAGATGACGCATGCATTCTAGATTGTGTTAAAACATGCGACTGCTCTACAAAAAAGCATGATCGACTTACTAAAAAGTTTTTTTCGGGCACTGATTATAGCAGCACCTTCAACATCGTCTCTTGTCCACCTGAATCACCTCTGGAAGTTTCGATTTTCTTTCCTCGTAGATGTTACTTGCTTCTCTGCATTTGGTTTAATCTTGCCATGCAGTAGCCACAGTGTTTCGATAAATTTCCATGGAAACATTATTTTAGTGTGCTGGTAGGCAAGAGACTTTCTTTAAAGGCTTTATTCAGTTGGAGTCAACTGGCTCCTTCTAGATCCTAGCTTGCAGTCCAGTTTAAATTTTTATCTCGACAGAATTTTCAACTTTGTATCACACAATTTGCGCTTCAGGTGTGCCTAAACTTCATCATAATTGAATCGACATCACACTGCTTTTACATTCTATACTTAAAGCTTCATTACGATAATATTGGAAATGTGATCACATTTAGCATTTTATCCTGAAGTAGGACATCCTCATTTGTGATTAGCCACTAGATGGTCATCACATTTTCAGTCAACCAATCACTTTCATCAGGTGTGGTGATCTAAAAGTGTTATTCGTGCATTTTTAACTTTTAATGTGGTAGAAGAGACAAGGTGATCGAAAGGGGTAGAACAAGAGATGTTTTAGGCAAGAAAAGCAGTATAGTGATTAAAAAACAGTATACTCTCTTCAAATCATATTTCCTTGAAAAGGAGTATACTGATTAAAAAACACAGCCTTAGATTTCCAGACAAGCTTGTGCACTAAAAATTGTTGTGCATGTAGCTGTAAGAAGTATTCTGTTAGCAGATTTTTTTTTGTTTGCAGCGCTATTCAATTTACGGAGAAACCAGTGAAAAAAGTGTCGCTGGTGCTTCTTTCTCACACGTGCATCTAGTCTTGCAGTGTGACAGTTTTGAAAGTCACAAAACTGCACTGGGTCTTTTTTCTTTAAACAAGTACAACACTCAGTCAAAAAATTTTATGGAGGCTCGATGTTGCCAACAGTGGCTGAGGAGGATTGAGATACTGGGGCCAATACTTTGGTAAGGAGATCTTTATTTGTCCGGCCCTTTGAGTTGTCCTGGATAACAGTTGTTTTTTCGAGAACAGTTTATCAGAAAAAAGTAACATTTGAAGGAGAACAGTTTAGAGCAATGTAGGCAAATACCGTTGCTGGAGTTGTTGCCCTTTCTATCAGAGGAAGCAACTTGCAATTGAGTTACCCATCAAGTCACTCCTTAATGCAACTTGTGTTCTTTCAACCTTCATCGAGGCAACAAGTTGTCCTAATGAATCGCGACACTTGTCGAAGTGTCGGCTGAGCATCTTTTCACTCATCCACTGTTCAATATCAGAGTGCCATACGCGGTCGGCAGTTGTATTTCATGGTTCAGAAATTGATAAGTGGATGGAAAAT